CGATTGCGCCTCCTGAGCTACTGTTTTGTTCTCAGTTAGCGATTAGATGATTTGCCAACATTCTTGAAGGGTGAAAAAATAAATTGCGTTAAGCCCTCTTTTTTTCCCCCATATTTCCAGCCCGATGAAAATTTTAAATGAAGACGACAAAGAAGAAGACATGTTTGCTGACGATGGATCAGAAAGAAATTTCCGAAAAAAGGATTTCTCAAGGCAGTACCAATGTCGATTTGGTGGTTGTGGAAAATGAATGAGTAAGTTAAAAATATGGGGTAATTTTGTTGGAATTTTCCAATTTTTTTTCTCTGTATTTTGGAGGTAATTAAGTGGATGGCAGATAATGGGCTGTGGTAGATTATATTGCCAGTGAAACCGATTGACTGACTGACTGACCGACTGAATAACTAACTGACAGACTGGTTGACTGACCGGCTAACTGACTGTTTAACTGACTGACTGACTGACCGACCTACCAACTGACTTACTATCCGGCTGACCGACTGACTGACTGACTAACAGACTGACTGACCGGCTGACTGACCGACCAACTGACTGACTAGCCGACCGACTGACTGACTGACTGACCGACTGGCTGACTGACTGACTGACTGACCGACTGACTGACTGACTGACTGACTGACTAACAGACTGACTGACCGACTGACCAACTGATTGACCGACTGACAGACTGACTGACTGTGACTGACTCACTGTTTCACTGACTGACCAACTGAATTACTTACTAACTGAGACACTGACCGACAAACTAAGGTAACGAATGATCGACTGGTTGACTGACTAACAGATTTGTTCATTTATTCATGCATTCGGCTTTCTTTCTTTAGCATCCATGGGAATAAAGAAAAACATATGGCAAGGAAAAAATAAACGAATCAAAGGAAAAGACAAGGCAGCTAAAACTTAACAAATTAACAGACCATTTGAAACAAAATGTAGGATGTTACTTCAAATCAGTATCATACAAAAGCAAAGCTTTTTAAAAGGTTTACTTGTTATTCTGTTCTCCGCAGTTAATGCTGTAAAATGTCCCTTGTATTTTACTAGTTTACTTCAATCGAATATTATTCTTTGTTTTCAATTTAATCCTAATTAACGACATTCGAATGTTTTCAAAAGTTTATTGCGAACTACTTGTTAAAGAGGTATATGCAGTATCAATAAAAACAGGACTTACGTAGATCCCCACCGTAGAGGAGATGTAAGGAGTAAATAAAGATCATTTATGGATCAGTAGAATCCTGAGTTTTCGTGTTAAATTGTTCTGCGCCTATGAAACGCATATGGATATTTATAGCCAGGTCAAAAAAAAGGGGACTAAAAAGTGGAAAGTTCTGGTCTGAAATAGGGTTTATGGAGAGGTGGGTGGTACATCCCTTAATTATTTAACTCCCAGAGGTGTTTAACACTCAAATTCTCCCTAAGATATATACATTATCCAGCAAAAATGTAATGAGAATATTCAAACTTATATTATTATTTGGTAGAAGTTGCTATCTTGATCTAACAGCAAATACTTGTAACTAATTTACAAGGAAGTGTGTAGCGGCAAGAGGTGAGAATTAACAATCAGATCTTGGGAATTTAAAGGTTAAGGAATTCGAGGATTCCTCCTCTACACGCATAAACCCAAGCCCAACTCCCTGTGCCTCGTTCCCCGTCCCCTGCCCCTAACCTTACTCACCGGGAGTGCCTGTGACTATTCCCGCGCTTCAAGCGGCTTACAAGTTGTCAGTTACTTTGAGTCCTCATTGGCTGATGATGATGTAATCTTTTTTCTGATTGGTCGTTGTGATAACTTTGGTTTTGGTTTTTTAATACTCAGTTTAAAACTGTTTTATTTCTGAGCTTACTTATGCTCAAGAGTAAAGAAAAATAAACCCTGTGTTTTCAGAGACAAAGTTTATACATCCCCCACTTCTCCATCGAAATTTCCTGGGTCCACCCTTGCTTATGTGGTCGCTAAACCTTAAGCAAACAAGAGGAACGCAGCAGAATTTTACCACTTGGTATGAATGACAATTTAATGTGAAGCAGATTGTTTACAATATGCTAAACAGAAAATGTGTTGTAACACCATTTATATGGTAAGTGGTTTAGAGACCTCATGTGAGTTTTAAAACTCGAAAATAGTAAGCACGTTGTAATAGACACAAGCCGATAAACGTTTTTTTCGAAATGAATTATTCCTCTTTTTTCGCCTCTGTTTCATAGAGTTTCCATAAGTCGTAGAGCCGTCCTTTGTTATCTAAATTCCTGAAAAATGAAATACAAGAAATTTTGAGAAAGAAAACATCTGCTTTTTAAGACAAGAAAAACCCTTCTGCCGGAAACTTGTTGGCGAGAAGAAACTGTATTTCCTTAAGTTAATGCCTGTCTCGTCTAGGTGCCGAGGCAAAACTGCTAATTTAGAAATAAAAGTCGGGGTGTAAAAGGGGATGAATGAAGCGAAAAGGAAAATTAGAGATTTTTCAGAACACGAACCTTATTTAGTACGCATATCCTGTTGATTTACAACTTCGTTTTTAGCTTTACCAAAAAAGTTATGAGCCTTTTAAACACCGTGACTTACTGGCTTGTGTGGTTGTTTGTATGTTTTGTCACAGTCCTTGCTGACCATCGTCAGCAAAATCTGAAAAAAATTTGTCCTAACAGCCCGAAAGCACGAAGCCAGAACGTTCGCGCATGAGCAGACGTTCGACCGCTGTGTGACTTGGACCCGGCCCAGTCCTCGTGCCATAAACGATTATAATCCAGCTCACCTTTCGACTTGTAGGCTTGAAAGGTCATCGTTAAACCTGGCTTTTGTTCTCTTGTGTTTCTTGCACTTTCGAGCGGCTACTCTTTTGTTACCGAAGCTATAGTTGCATCCTCTCGCCCTGCATTCGGCAGTGAGGCTCAGTACAATTATCACAATCATCAAAAGGGAAAGTAGAATTGTTCTATTCATGATATTTCCCTGAAAAATAGAAAAGATGAGACGAAAATTTAGGTTCGTAAACGTGTACTCGTCTGGTTCTGTAGATGCTCGTCTGTTGAGGCTTTGCACGCTTTGGCTTTCAGAAACTAAACACTTTCTAAGAAAGCTGAGGCGTTTGCGATTGAATGTCTATAACGACCAATTATAATTATAAGAAAGGAAAACAACTTTAAGAGCCAATAAAAACTCAAAGTAAAAATAACCAAACTGCCTAAAGCGCGGGAAAACGCGGGCGACCAAGTCATGATTGGTTTTAGATTTACATCTAATTGGTCGAGAGAGTTGTGTGACTTATTTAACCAATCACAAAGCGAAGTAAAGCAAAACCATTGCAATAGTGGATTACTTTCGACAATCAATTACAAATTGCTTTATTTTGTAAAATTTTTGTGTAGCGAAATATATATTCTTGTCATTTTTGAGAATTCGATAACCTTGATCGTGCACGGGCTGGCCTCAATGCGGCAGCATTTGTTTTGTCCAATGTAGATGTGTTCGTCAACTGAAGTTGAGATTCAGCGGATCAATATCAGTGTCTGGGCAACTGCCCACCTACCCCTCCCCTAAACTGACTGTTGTTGAGTTAGGGAAGGGGTAGGTGGGCAGTTGCCCAGATACTGATATTGATCCGATTCAGCTAATATATCAAGAACACTAAACTCCGAAATTTACGTCATTTCTTTCTATCTTTGACGTGTTTAAACAGCCAAGTTGATGGTTTGACTCAAGGTGTACTTCCAAGAGCCGACTAAGCAAAGAGCGTGGAAGGCAGGGTGGGGTAAGCCAGAAATTGCTCCCATCAGCCACTGCACCCCTTCAGCCTGTTATTAGCACGACCAGTTCAATGAAAAATAAACCAGTCGTAAGTTTATAGATTCGCAGCTGGCGCTTTACTGAAAAATATTTGCTTAATCACAGCCTCTAAACCAGCCTAACGGATGTTTTTTTTCCAAATATTTTCCCTAAACATAATGACTGCGGGAAGGGGATTGCGATTGGGGAAGGGGAGTGCTGAACAGCCTCTGGATAATTCACGGGATTCCACATCTAGAGAATTTTTCATTTTTTTCAAATCAATCCGTTTTAACTTTCTCCATTCCTTGAAATCCTGGTTCCATCTCGGTTTGTTAATTCCTCTTTTGGCTCGATCTATCTCACAGAAATAATATTTTTCAGTCTCCATCAAGTTGACACGAATTATCGTGATAAGTTTCCTTCTAGTTTTGCGCCATTTTCCATGATTATTTACAGAACCCAGCCTTCCAGCGCATATTAAAACTAAAAAAATTCGTCAATTGGGGTAAATGCGATTGTAATCGTTGTTCAAAGAAATGTGAAAACCGCTCGCCACGAAAGTCTGGCTATCGAAGTTACCATGTGAAAAATACAGGGGGAATTGATTTTGGATCGAGTAAGCCCGGGGTTCGAGGTATCGAGATCTTGAGTATTCGAGAGTAAAATTAGATCGACTGTTTGACGCAAAGGCAAGGGAAATCGATTTCGGTTCGAGTTAACGCGAAGTTCGAGTCAGCGATGGTTCGCTTTGTCGATTATGCAGTAGCTTGTCACGTGATTAGAAGACTCACAGCGAGGCAGGAAAAATCATTTTCATTATTGGGAGGGTAAACAAAAATTCATGAATCGAATTCATTTGGGCAAAAAGTTAGCTAACTCCTCATACCAACCAGGCAGAATTCAAATAACTAATTTTGAGCTGATAATGATATTAAAACAGAGACCAAACATATGAAAATAGGTGTCATTACACAAAACGGTTGCTTCCAACGTCTGTTCGCTTATTTAGGAGGAAAAAAACCGATAATTCGTGGCTAGACTGTGAATTTCTTAGCAGAATTTTGCATAAATGCTAAAAAAAAACATACACTGACACAAATTTCTTTTAAAAAAAGCGCACGAATTCAAACTAACGAGCGATGTTTTTTGGGAGTGCTCGATAAAAACTTGGGCTTATTCACCAATCGCACTTTCAGTTGTCACCTCTAAATGCCTGTTGACTCTATACAAAACTTTTAATCGTCACCTCTATTATATAACAGGCACTGAATGTTCGGACGAAAATAATATTTTGAGAAACGGATGCTAAATCTTTTACATTGTTAAAGTTGAACAAAAGAGAAAAAACCACTGAAAAATATAAGCATATGAAGATAAGCAAAGCTTTCATGCCAGTTTATCTGTCAATTCTGGACGCCCTCATTATCCGAATGAGAATTTGAAATAAGTTTAATTTTTTTTCAACGTTTTGACAAATTTCTTTTGAATATTTTCAATAAAACTATTGTAGTTCAATGTTGAGTTTTCTTTTCTGAACCGGACACTAAATCCGAAACATAGTCGAGGAAAATTAATGAAGAAAAAAAATCAGAGAAAAAAACCCAGTCGTGGGTTCATGTGAGTTTAACCGCAAATCCTGATCCCTCTTGTCACAAAGTACATCGATATTCTTTTTTCTTATTTGTTCTTGCTTTGAATATTTCAATGCGCGTTAAAGCTTCCATAGCAAGCCACAGCAGTGAAAAACATCTTTATAAGAAAACGTATCCCGAAAGAGCTAGAATTTGAATAAATCAGTGTACGAAGATTTGTTTTTAACCTACCTTGATCCCAGATCGTTTTATACTGTCACTAGCTCGCTATCTTTTTTATGAACCAAACTCGCACACTAGAGCGCAGAAGCCTGCTTTCATTAACACTGCACTAGGCAAGTTACACGTCCTTCTTAAAAATGACAGATAGGAGCGTGCAGCCCGAGGGCCTAAAACATGAATTGTAATGTTTCAACAATACTTTTAGACAGCGTGGCTCGATCTAATTCTATTATTTAATTATAACAATTGGCGAAGGCTTTCAACAATGTAATCGTGAAATTTTATGACATGTTGGCTTCTGAAAACCTCCAATTCAATTGATCATGAGTCCTAATTTTCATCGGCGATGCCTGCGGTTAACGATGTGTCACGTTAAGCGAAATACCGACGTGGTAATGGATTTCAATGGGCAACTGTGTACTCATCAAAAGATATCATATCATTTTTGACTCACCACAAATTATTGCTGAGAAAATTGTGCAATTTGCGATCTCCACCATCTGCAATACGTACGACCGGTGATCTTGCCACCCGAATAAATCACTAAGCAACGGATCCGACAGATATTAGGAACTCAATTATTCCTGCCGCCTTGCTCAAAACAAAAAAAAGGGAAAAAAAGCGTCTCACTAAATGGTGATTTTTATTCAACGCACGACTTAGAAATTTTCGTTATGTTCGGTTATTTTCTTTGGTTCATACGCGTCGTTGAAGACGTCTGGGAAGCTTCATATCGGCTTTTCAGGCAAATATTGCGTTATTTCCCATGAAACTTGGTATATAGTTCCTTCCGTGAGGTTGAATGGCGCATCATTTTTTTTTAAACCCCTCCAGCTCTAACTGTTAAGGAAACCGTTGCAAATTTGCCTAGCACAATATGTTATGACTACCAAGTTCGTCTTTTCAACTCAACCCTTATTGACTAGAAATCGCACAAAGGGTTTCAGGGGAAGTAATAAACCTGAGTCGTGAAAACGCTTACCTACCCGAGGGCAGTGTTTCATTCTCTCGAGTAAGTTAATCAGTTGTTTTTTTTTTTGTCTTTTTTTCTTTCTAACATTTCAAAGCAAACAAAACAAGTCAAAGAGGAGGTGAATCGCTATCTGTCAGGGCTGAAACTAATTAGGTATCGTTTCACAATGCTTCAGTGATGATTTTCTGGATTGAAGCAACTTGAAAAAAAGGCTACTCTTGAAGAAGGCGTTAAATGTGTGAGTTTGCGCACATGTGCGTGCTAATGAGCGGAGGAGGCATTATTAACGCATGCGCTGTTGGCATATGTCACATGCTGTCAAGTGAAAACATGATAATATCTCTGTCAAAAATTTAAGATAATTTAGACATATTTTCAAACATATGTTTCTTTGGCAGATATTTTACCCCAGTGACGTTTTCAGTAACTAAATTTGCGTATTTCCCCAAATTTCGCAAGCTTTATTCACACTAGATACAATGGAAAACCACAGAACCAATTATTAATGGTTAGAAAGGTTTATAGAAAATGACTCCTTTCTCCCACGAGTAAGAAAACCATGCGTCATTCCATCTAACAAACTAACAACAATTTATTTACATACGTAAGCGCACAAATTTATTTCGATCCAAAAACTAGGGAATCCTGATTTAATTTTCACTTAGAGTCTTTAGGAAATTTTACGTAGCACCGTAAGAGTTTGTACCGGAAACAAAACTGAACAATTCTGAAAATTGACGAAGGTAGATCGACCGAAAATTGTCTTTTTTTTGACAATTGAAGACTCTTGCCAAGTCTTTACCTAAGCTATTTTTAAAAAACAAAATCTTTCTAATAATCGAAAAAAAGAAATTAAGAATTGTATCCTAAGTTAGGTCACTGCTCAAAAGTTGTTTCCTTTATCAAAATATTTTTCACATAATTTTTTTTTTCACCTAATGAATTCGATAAGGAGAAAAAAAATTCACTCTTACAGCATAAGATAATGTATCTTTTGGCAAATGACCATACACCTTGAAAAAATAAAAAACATTGTAGACATTTTTAATCAAAGAATTTACATGAAAATTTAAAAAAGGATAAGAAACAAATTAAAGACGGACAATTCTAGGCGTGGAAGTCGAAAGGAAGGAAACTGTTAATTTCTCCTGTTACAAGCCCGTCAAGAAGAGGAAATTTCTTTCCAACGAGAACGTGAGATTTAGTTTCCCGTGCGCCAGCTCTGCTACATGGGGTGCTTCGATCCAATAAAACTGATTCTGTTGTAAAGCATGCAAGATTCTTGTAACACCTACTTCATCGAGAATTTCGCCCACGTTTCCCCACCTAGTATACTTAATAATCTGTTACCTCGATCGCAGGCTCCCTCTCTCCCTCTCCTTTGTTAGCACAGGGCCCTGGGAACCAAGTTTGCAGTGCAAGAAATCGACACGAGCTAATTCTGTCGGTGCTATAGAATTATTTACGTTTAAAATCTGATATTTCAAGCAGCTTTCTGGGAAAAGAGGGAAATGGAAACTATCTTAAGTCAATGCTGTTTTGAAAACATATTAATGATAGAAAATACACGAGTGATAAAGTGAAGCTAGTTCCGCTAGTGATAAGATAATATCCTAGGGCTATGCTCCAATTTGAGTTCACTTATTTGAAACTAAAGGCTATTCGCAGAGATTTTAACTTCATTTCCGCTTTTTTTTTTTTTTTTTTTTCCTGTGCCTTGCCAGGTGAATAATTCTTTTTCACCCATTTTTAAGTCAATATATGAAACAAGATATATTATTTCAAGCCTTAGATAAATTTTTAGGTGTGTGGAAGATATGATCAACGGACTGTATCGAAAAGTCCGTACTAATAAATCATAGAGTTATTTTAACTCACATTTGATTCACTTTTTGATTATTGCATAAATTCCATGCAAATGAAAAGCTGTTTTCGATACGATCGAGGAAGTGTAGATATCTTCTCAACGAGATTTCGATAAAGTCGTACTTTACCAAGTGCTCGACTCCTGTTTGACAAAGATAAAGTTTACACTTTACTGTGGATATGATGACATTCCTAAGATTAAAACTGTAGGTTATCTACAGCTAAGTGTTCTGTCGACAATTACACTCAATTGTAACACACTTTTTTTAATTCTTTACATTTTGCGACGAAATTGTATAACTGATGACTGACAGGAAGCTTTCTGCTGTTATTATGTTGAAAACACTATTGAAGAGTCCAAGTTTGTTTTCAGTGTCAAATGATATCTTATTTGAAGAGCGTGTTTACTATATTCTTTAATGTCTGGTCTTTCTTTTGAACGCCAGCTTTGACCTCCTGTCGACGCCGGAAAAATAAACAAATGAATAAAATCGGTAAATGGAACACTTTGACACTGAATGAAAACCTCTTACGACGTGAAGGCATGATTTTTTTTCTGTCAAAATACCGCTTTTTCAAATATTCGTCTACTATATCGGTCGCCAAAAGCTCCGTGGCTTACGCGTATTAAGTCAAACCGTCAACGGTTTAATTGAAGAAAACCCCTTGAGTTTGCGGTATTCAAATAATGCACATATGATGATGCAATTGAAATAGAAAAACACGAATAATAAAAGTTATTAGGGCAACATTGATGACTATTTAGAGCTATTCTTTCTATTGGAAAACTTGAACAGTTCTTAAAACGTTACAATCATGAGAAAAGATGAAATTAGTATACATTGCAATTAACAAATCTGTGGCAATTTTAAAAAGAGAAGGTTTTCTTGGTGAGAAAGAAAAAAAATAAAAAACATAAATTAGTAAGGGCTTTGCTAGTAATCCTCTCAATATTTTAAATTAAAAGAAATTTACCTACGCGATTACAATCCTTGAGAGTTAGCTTGGTTCTGAAATTTCGATTGTTGGACGAATATCTAACAAATTTTAATCAAGTACGTGTCTCTTGCTGTTCTTTAACTAAAAACACACAGTCACATTCAGTTCCGCTTTGAGAAAGATTCGTGGTCATTGAAAAAAATCAAACTCTTAACTTTTTTTTTTTTTTTAAGTAAGAGGCGTTTTGAAATTGAAAGCATTGCGAAGACTAGGAACATTGAAATGTCTTATGTGGGCGAGTTAGTAGGGCTTCGTATTTCAGCGAGGATATTGGATACCGGGAAAAACACAGCTGAATTGTATCGTTTCAAAACGAAAAAATGTATATAACGAAAAGTTACAAATACCATGAAAGGCCTTAAGAAAATTATATACCACTGTTTGAATTTATCTAAGGCTTTGAAGTATATCATTATCCTCATTTCGTTTCAAAAAAACATCGTAAAACCAACTGGTCAATTCAAACTTAAAAGATCCGCTTGAACAAAAACCATGCCGGTGCGTATTTTAATCACCATGTTTTTTAGTTGAAATAAAATGTATTTCTTAGAACATTGACTTCGATAGTCTTTAAACAAAAGTTGAGTAAGTTCGAATACATGAGCAGAGTATTCAAGTAGTGACTTTTAGTCGATTTGTATAGAGTTCGCGTCTTCAACAAATGTCAATTATAAGCACAAATGTGACTATAAGCTAAAATTAAAGAGTAAAACTTCACGGGTTGAAACTTGCGTCTATTAAACTAAATGTATATCTAAACTAAAAACTTACTGTTTCTTTTCAACAAAGGTTTGAAGATTTCCGTCACGTTTCACTCGTCTGGCATTCAGAGTGGTATAGTCCGCTTTGATTTAAGCCGCGAGTTAAGATCCCCCTTTAGTTGGTTTCAAAGAGTAAACAAATTTGTACATGTCAGCTGCTCTCTGTTAAACGCGGTGGCTCTCGGACATCCGTTTCGTGGTTTGTGGTAATGCATGTAATAGTATCCTGACAGTAGAAATTTGGTTTTTCTCGCATCTATTATGCCAGTATTGTTTCAATGTTACGCCAAAGGAAACACGTAAGAGAGAGTTGTTTGTTCCCAATTGTAATCCTGTTTTACAAACTCTCGATGTTTTCATTTTCCCACCCCGCGCAAACTAAATAAGAACTACCTCAAATAGGTAGTCTCTCGAGATGCACAAATGTTGAAACAAACGTAGATAAAACAATAGTAAAGTTTTACTTTATTGATTAAGTTCCATTGATTTGGACACTAAAACTGATAAAATTATTGACACCGCGTCCGATATGACCTATTATCGCACCAAAGCGGATACAATAATAAAAAGAACG